ACTGGTTTTATTTACCAGCCCTCCTAGGCAGAGTTTGGAAATGAGAAAAAAGTGTGTTGAGTTTATTTAGTATATAGTTTTCTTGCTTCAGCCCATTCTCTGCAAAGCTTCTGTTTATTTTTTTTGTCGCCTTGTACCTGCACTTGAAGCTTGAGGCTGCTGCCTCTGACCTTTCTACAGAGAAACCCAAACCCATGCTCTCATGTCACAATGTTGTGACTCTTCAGAGGAGCTGGCTGTGAAGGGAGGAGGGTCACTACCAGAATATCAAACACTCCCTATTGCCACCCAGCTCCAGCAGTCTTGGAAGCAGAAGAAATCCTCCTGTATTTTGTGATACTTAGTGGATTTCCAAAATCTTATGCTTTGCCTATTTTTCAGTGTCCTTTTTTATTTGCCTACAGAATAAACCAATGGAAAATATTAAAACTAAGAAATAAGACCTACTGTGTGCCTAGAAAGAAATACATCTGTCAAGATCAGTGACAATTACACGACAAAACCCCTATGGACTAATTAGTAGAGTCAGAAAACAAACATTGGTTTCCTTACAGAGATTTCTTTTTTTTGAATTTTTTTTTCCCTCTGATAATCTGCCAGCTCCTCAAGCATATTTCTTCACCTCCTAATATTTTGAAAGGCTGCATCTTTAGCGCCCACCAATTCCAATCAAAATATCAGCAATGAAGATGGATATCCCTGTCAGGCATCACTTCATCTCCTAGTAGAGCAAGGAAGGCAAAGCCAGTATCATAAATCACTTTCAAGGGTATAGTCAAGTGACATGAGAAGTTAAAGGTTTAAAATGAAGTTTCAACTTCACCTGTCACTTTCTCTGTCACAGAATGACAAAACCCCAGTGGATACAGTCCAGCTCAAGGAAGGAGAGAGAGGCTGCATGGTCTTATTGCCCATATTGCCAACTATCTCCAGGCCTAGTGCTACTCGTGATCCTTGGAAATCCTCCATGTGATTCTCTGTTTCTATGGCCAGGAAAAGCCAATTTGCAGCTGCTAGTATCTTTTCAACAGTTATATAAATTCCTTAAGCTGAGAATTTTCTCTGTTAATGATGAAGGGCAAGAATTAAAGTCCAGCAAGTCCACAGCTTCCATCTCAGTATGCTTTGATTCTCTTTGGACATGACACCCAACTGCAAAATGAAAGGGCAGAGCTGCACAGAATATTCAAGAATACTGTAGAAAGGAGGATGGGGAGGGAGGGCTGGCTGGAAATACCTTGTGCTTTTTCAGGTCTGTAAAAACAGATGATAAACAGAAAACAGCAGCCAGAATGACCTTCCAACATAAAATGTTTCTCTCCATCAATCCTAACAAAAAGGCCTCATTTCTCTCCAGTAGTCTCTTTGAACAAGCCAGGAACCAATCCTTCATCTTCTAAATCTTTGGGGGCTTTTCAGCCCTAAGTGTGGCCAGTCTGGTTTTGTGGCAGGTTTCCCAAGAGTGGAAAAAAACAGTGATAAATGAAATGTAAATGCTGTAGAAAATCTATTATCCAAACCATGACTCTTCTGCTTTATCACTAGTCACTGCAATACTGCCTTTGAGTATCAAATTTATTTACTGACCATCAGGACCCTGTAATTAAGCCATGATTTTATTCCAGAAAGTGACCCTAGATTAAAAAAAAAAAAAAAATAAGAGGGAAAAAAGGCATCATATGATTCCACAAAACTGCAAATCATACCCTCAACTAACCTCATACAACATCATGAATTGTCAGTGGGCTTGCAGGTAACTGGAAGGTGGATTTGGACTGCAGAACCATAAATCCTATGGGACAGCAGCTAGAAAAACACCAGTCAACTTGTGCAAGCCAAGCTGCAGAGTTGATGGCTACAGCTAAATCATGTTGTAAATGTATATACTGAAAAAATGCTCCAGATGGTGTGTTCTTCCCCTTAAATCCTCTCAGGTCTCACCTGGGGATATGAATATCACTAGAAATAGTCATAAAAAAGAGATGCAATACCTAAGAAAAGAGGTCTAGTATACAAAAAATATTTGAGTTCATACTTGAGTGGATTACTGGAAAAATCTTAAACTTTCCATACATATTTTTCTTTGGTTATCAATAGCCTATTCTTCTCTAATCTCATAACCTAACCAAGAAGGAAATAAATCAAACAAATGTCGTTATAAAAAGTCAGAGACACTTTATGTTTTGCTAAGATACCATTGCTGAAATATCCGATGTTAGAAACAATAAAGCAAAAGATTTAAATGACTAAAAGTTATTTTAGAATAAATGTGTCTTGCATAAGTTGCATATATAGTAAGAAAATAAAAATTAAACCTGCTCAAATAAAAAGCTTAAGAAGTGAATTTCAATAGATTACAACATGTAGGCCAGCATATTCTAGCTGCTATTGCTCTATTTGGCTTCAGAAACAAAAGCATTTAGGATAATTATAATTACAACCAGTAAGAATTTCCACGCTTGGGGAAACATTAATATTTCAACATTGGTTTTTTTCATGCTGAATCAGAATTAAAAAAAAAAATAAAATTCTTCTCAGAGAAAAATTCTGAAAAATTCTGATTTTTAGGTATTCCATATAGATACTGTCAAAACACTGCCCTACATATTATTCATATCTGCAGCACTTAGTAGAAACATAGCATTTAATTAATTATTCCAATATGATTACAAAGTCGACATGAAGGGAATAGGAAAATTTTACTCTTCCAAATCACAAAACAGAATATTTTTATGTTGAACATGAATGTTGTGGAGGAGATTCTAAGCACTGTGGAAAAGTCTGCATACTAGCTAAGTTTTGACACCTTCCAGCACCACTTTTCTTTCACAATATCCTGATCGTGAAGTCTGTCTTTCCTTGTTTCTTTCCTTCCTTTCCTTTTTTTTTTCCCCTTTATAGTAGTATAATGATAAAGCAATTTTGCTAGTGTATGTGAATTTACTTTTGTTTTCAATTTATTTTTCTTTCAATGCTTATGTTGAAGCCTTCACATCTTAGGGCTAATGTGCAAAATTGAATCCTCATAAAACCCAGGCAAGGCAAGTAAGCAGATAAAATGATGGATAAACAGAGGTGTGCATTTCAGGGGAGAGCTAGGATTAGAAGCAGTATAGCCCTGGGTTTTAGACTGGGCTTCAAAATGTCATGCTTCTGGAAAAACAGGTCAGTGCATCAGTTCACAGAAGAGATTGGCCAGCTAAAGTGCTGTGCATAACCTCAAATTTTATGTCTATTTCTGACCACAACATTGATGCCCGTGGGAGTGCAGGTAGTGGGTGGTGCACCTGCAGGAGTCTGTTAGTTCAGATCAAGGCACCCTCCTCTTGAGGCAGAGCTCCTGCCTGTCCCAGCAGCCTGCCTGGCTCGCACCCTGGGGGCATCTGGGCTACAAAGAAGAGGCTCTTCACGAGACACTCCTGGGTGTGCAGGTGTGCAGGCCATGCCATGGACTTGGTCCAAACTATAAACCCCTGGAGCACCAGATCCTTTTTCCTCCAGTCTGCTTCTGCTGAGCTAGTGCAGACATAGCCATAAAATTCCACATGCCATCCACCAAATTTAGAATATTCCTGCAACTCCTTAGTTGAGATTGGACCTTTTGAAAGTATTTGTGAAGCATGATCCTTAAGAAACGTGGTAAAGATGCTATGGAAACATACAAGTCTTATGGCAAACCACAGCACAGGTGCTCCTGTTACCTACCCATGAAGGTGATGCTTACACTGGAAGGTGGAGAAGTTCTCCTGCACTCCCTGGCCTGTCTCTGTAGCCCTTTAGTCTGCTTCTCCATGCTGGAAACTGAGGCAGAGTGTCTTCTGTGACACCCTCACAGTGGATGTGTCAGCTGCACTGGGAGGGGACCAGCTCTCCTGAACACACTCACAAATGCCTAGTTCATTGAAAACCTAAGCTGCAGCACACAATAACCTGCTGTTCTCCTTCTGACAGGCAACTGCATCAAAGGCTTTGCTGGAAGTAGGGGAAAATAATGCTTGGCGATGGCGTGTCTCTCATCCCACAGCAAGAGCCGCAGTTCCACAGCCCAGCTCATCCTGTCCCTGCCCTGCTCAGGCTGGGCTCCCAGCCCTAGCCTACATGGTCCCCAGAGGGAATTCTGCAGTGCCTCCCTGAGCAACTCTCAGGCACCTCTGCCACTGCTTCAAGTGGCCTGCCTGTGTGTTGGACAAGCAAAGGATTTCCACAGAGCAGCCCCCACATCCAGGCACCTGCACTTGGTGCCTAAAGATGGGCACTGCTGGGATTTGCTCTTCACTTTTCTTTTCAATAAACTGTCTCCGATAATTGCCTTGGCTTTAGAGCTGAAGGCCTCTGGAGTAATGAACAACTGTTATTTCTAGTACAATGGGATCGTTGCCTGTAACATTATCCCTTAATTGCTACTGCGGTGCAAATTATGAAAAGCAAGAATTTCCAAATATAGAGACACTTGGCCCTTGTGACAGGAAATTAAGGTCTCTTCTCTGGCACTGCTGCATGCCCTGAACTCCCACTCAAGTCAAAATGAATTACATACATTCAATATTTTGAAAAACAAGCTCTTAACCTCTACAAACAAGCTTATAGAGTTCATATCATATGTGTTCTGGCTATCCCTATAAATGTCCAATCCTTTTTCAGATCCTCCTAATCTCCTGGGCATCCTGGTCCCTTCAGAGGTAATGGCAAAACTTGGCTGAAAAGGATGAAGTACATTTTTAAAAAACAATGCATAAATCTGTGAGTGTATTATCTTTTAAAGTTTTAATGCTTTGGATTGTTTAATTGGTTATTTTTTATGTAAGAAAAAGGAAGCAAATATTTCTGTATCACCCACAATATAAAATATCCTATCTTCTTTCCTATTTTTGACACCTTGAGAGTCTACCATTTTCCTCATCTTGGATAAAATTATTTTGATACCCGTTCATGCCTTACTTTGGTGCTGTACTCTTTAGAAGCAATAATGACCAGAACAAACTTAGACTTCTGAGACTGAGTGTGTTATCTCTACAGTGCCTTTTTAATATTTCAGGAATTAAGAGTCTAAATGTTTAATCTCCACTATGAAGTGCCTGAAAACCGTGGTATTGTCAAATAAAAGCGGTAAAGTGCTGAGGAAAGGTGCAATCCTTCTCTTACTGATGTCAGTGGGAATTTTGCCAGGAAGCTCAGCATGATAAGGGTATAGACCAAAGTAATCAGTTCTACAGATGATTACATGAAAAGCCCTTCATTATAGCATGATGATTGAGTATCATTACAGTCATGAGACACAGACATCTTCTGGAACCAAAACCAAGAAAAATAATGTATTAAGGCTATTCCTCCTCCGAGCTGGGCCTGTTTGGCTTCTCATCAGATGACTTTTCACATGTTAGCACAGCTACTTTGGTTTTGGCCACAACCTGATATGCACAGCCAAATGAGCCCAGATTTCCTGCTCCACAGTTCCTCTCCACTGAAAGTCTCTCAGCCCATGAAAGCTGAGTCGTTTGGTAAGTAAAATATTTTTGGCAAACTCAGGAACATTACACTTTTTTGTCCATCTTCTCATTTCAGTTCAAGGGAACGTCTTGCTCCACAGGTACCTCTTCCAGGCTGGAGAAGGGCAAGTAGTTAATGCTCGTGTGTGATGGCTGATGTCTTGACAAAGGGACACTGTGGCATAAACCCCCAGAGCCAGATGCCTGCTTCTGCAGCCTCACCCAGCCTGCCCAGTGCTCCAGCTGAGAGCAGGAGGAAGCAGGAGGCTGTGGCCGTGAACTGGGCACTGAGGGCATGGACGATGTGTGCAAGCTAACGTGGTGCCCTTGCAAACACGTTCAGGATCTTCACAGTTCTTCAGGGAGCATTTGTTAGGCAGATATACTGATGCAGTTTTGCACAGTTCATCCAAGAAAGTGAAGTTGCACAGTACCCTGCAAAAGCAAAGTCTGTATGAAGATGGGAATATGACTAGAGTTTGTATCAACTTTGGATTAAAGTGTTTTGTTATTACTTATATGTAAGGAGGTTAATTTTCTCTCTATTATTTGGGGTCAAACAGAAGCCTGTGCTCCCTACTGAAATCGGCAATTTGTCAGCTTAGCAAAATCTGTATTAATAAAGATAAAATGTAAATATTTGTAAAACATGCACAGTTACATCACTCAGCGTTATTAAATCATTAATATTGTCTGGTTCTGGTTTGTATTGTCATAGTCAAAGGAAGCTGCAGTGAAGACAGCAGGAAAACACACATCCACATCAAGTTTTAGATACATTTTGGGGAGAATTTTCTTCACTACCTTAGAAGAGAAGTTTTAATGGTGCATTTTAATTTATTTTCCACATCTGTATGTTGCTTATGTGTCTTATCTGAAAAGAACTGTGAAACTCTCCCACTGCTTCTTGCCTGAAACTGCTCTCTGGATTGCAGTTCTGATTTCTCTGTCATGATACATGTTGTCAGGCTTTGTCTCCTCTTGAAATTATCATTAAAATGGTGCACTGGCAAAAAACCCCCATTTGTAATGGTTGGGGATTCTGAAATATTTTCTGTTATTTTCATAATATCTGTTAATACTTCCCTGAAGCTATGCATTCGATTAAATACCTTTTCTTTCTGCAGTCCTTTGAAACAGTGGTAAAAAATCACTGCTATTTCATTTTAGCCTCTCAACTGATAGGCAAAAATCAGTTGCCTAGCAAGCAGAAGTACTATTGTTTGTGCTAGAAGGTCAAGACAAAAATGTGCTGAAAACTTTCTGGATACTTATATAAAGAGATGAGTTATGACTTGGGAGTTATTTATTGCACAAGTCTGTATTTTACCCTCTGCATCCTGCTTTCACATACTTTATGTCACTTTAGGGAAAGGAATAACTATTTCTCAAACAAACATTCTGATATTACAGAAAGATAACAGCAACCTCTCAGTTTAGATGAACTCAGAAATGTGCCTAGAAAATAATTTGTCATCTGCTATAGAAATTTCAGAGTCCCAGCTTAAGCAATAGCAGTATGAAATCCTTTTCTCTCTTTGACCATGTACTAAAAGAGCCAGCAAATGAAAAGCTATTGTGTTTATTTTCTATGGGCAGCTACCACATAATAATGTGGTAATACTTTTCATGGCAATCCATCACACAATATGCATACTAGAGTTCAGAATATACCATCTACTCTAACCTATACTACACCTCAGTTCTCAAGATCTTTGTATGGAGCAGCTGGTGTTATATGTTACAAACATGCTGCACCTCTCAGCTGGGTGGATGTATTTCTGGGGTGCTGCAAGTTCATTTAGAGTGCAACATTAACTTCATACAGAAACCTTTAGAAGTGAGAGCTCAGTCTGGGTTTAGGCTTTGTGCAGATCGTAGTGGGAGGTATGAAAAGAGAATCTATGTGTTTTACACAAACAGACTTGGCACACCTATAGCTCCTATGCTCTGTAAATGCAATTGAATTGCCTATCTACCAACAGTTTTAAGAGGGAGGGTGTAGATGGAATCTCAGCTGTCTTTCTCATGGCTTTCAAGACACAGGAAAAATTTCTAGTAAAAACAAGAGGGACCACAGCACTTTTGTCAAGTGTTGTGCAAAGCTGTCCTGTCAGCCAAACAGTACACTAGAAGGCATCACTGCATCCTCCATCTCCTACAGTCTACAAAGAAAGTCTGACAGAAAAAGCTTTCACTTTAACACTAAGTAAGAGATCTGTCTGGATTAGGCACCAAGGTGAAGCAAAATGCTTCCCCTTTTCTGACCTACTGCTATGGGTGCATAAAAAGTGGATTGCACATGAAGACATGAGGAGGGAGAAAGAAGCTTTGTATCTTTATTAAGCTCTTAAACTTTACCACCAATTTTCCAGTTCAAAATATTTTCTTTTTCTGCCTCATCTGTCTCAGCCCAGACCACCAGCTAGTTCATGTCTGTGTCCTGTGGTGAGCTCAGCTGGGCTGGCACAGCCTCTGGCAGCAGCTGAACTCCAGGCAGGTTCAGCATCCCACCTGCAGGGACTCTGGCAGGGTCAGGACTCTGACAACAGATCCAGAAATCTAACTGACTATGAAAATGTTTACAGAAGCATTAAAAATTTTTTTCCTTTGTATTATTAATTTTTCTTTCCGTCCAGCTGTATTGTTTGCATCAACCATTTCTGAAATTACTGTTCTGGAAGCAAATGTACTTGCATTCTTACAAACTATTTTTTTGAATTTATGATCTTTCTCAAAATGATAGAATCACAGAATGTTAGAATGGTTTGAGTTGGAAGGATCTTAAAGATCATCTAGTTCCAACCCTCCTGCCACGGCCAGGAACACCTTCCACTATACCAGGTTGTTCAGGGCCACCATCCTATGTGCCTTGGACACTTCCAGGGATGAGACATTCACAACTTCACTGGGCAACCTGTTTCAGTGCCTTAATACCCTTATAGCAAATAATTTATTCCAAATATCTAATCTAAACCTGCTCTCTTTCAGTTTAAAGCCATCCCTCCTTGTCCTACCACTACCAGCCCTTGCAGAAAGTCCCTTCTCAGCTCTTTTGTAGGCCTTCTTTAGGTATTGGAAGGTGCTATAAGGTTTCCCCAGAGGCTTCTCTTCTCTTCTCTTCCAGGCTGAACAATCCCAACATTCTCATCCTGTCTTCGTAGGAGAAGTACTTTTCAACACCTTAAAAAAATAAAAAAAATAAAAAAAACTGGAAGAAGAGGTGGAGAGGTATTTATGATCTAATATCCTTCCTTAATAACCACAGTAACCTGAATCTTCTAGAGAAAATTAGCATTTATCTGTTCCCTGGTGTAAATCATTCTAGCCCACTTTCCCAATTTTCCTGATGGTGAAGCATTGCTAAGCAACACCAAACTTGCAGGTCAGCTGCCACTTCTGGACTATGCCAATGTCAATTTTTTTAAGGCCTACACTATATATTTTTCAAAGATTATGTTGCCATTTAAGAGCATTTAAAACTACTTAGCTCATCTTCCTACTGTAATACTAGCTCTTGCTTAGTCTAAAGCTGCCTTGCTATGGATGAATATTGCTTGAAGTGTCTAAATATTTGGAAGTAAAACCAGCCATTTTCTTCAGTGGTGAAGTATGTATATAATGAAGTATGGTATAAGATCAAGCCTGATTTTAATTATAAGTTGTCCTTTCTCTTACTCTGCCTGCCTTCCCTGTTTTTCATGCCAACAGCAACTGTTTAATTTGACTTGAAGGAAAGCTAAACAGCCTCAAGTAGCAGATGAATCATTCTAATATCTGATAACTTTTCCAAATAAAGGCCTCCCTCTCCAGGAGCAAATGTCAGTCTCCATCACTTAACAAGCTTATCTGAGCCCATGTATTGAGCAGAGGGACATGCTCACACTGAAAAGCTAATGGTGGGATTTTCAGTGTGTTGCTAAACTGCTGAGTAGTACAGTGATATTGCTGATTTCCAGACAAAGTTCAGCACACAGCCTGTGCCTGAGCAAGCGCTGTAAAGTAGCTGTAAAGTATAGGATGTATAGCAAAAGTTCCAAACCATGCAACCCCAAAAGTGTAAGGTGCTCCTCAGTGGGCCACCACTGGTGCCAGGGCATCTCCTGCTCTTGCTTTGCTCAGGTGCTGCAGAGGTGCCCTTCCTGTGGGTAGCCCTAGCATTACCCTTACAGTTTGATCCAGACACTCATCAACTTCAAAGTGCCAACTAAGTATGGGTTTTCATAAAAGTATGCACTTGGATACAGCACAGAAACCTTTTTAATGGCAAGTATGTCATTAAATTGTCAACTTTCTTGCAAGCAGCACTTGGAGTAGCAAGAACAAGCATGGGAGATAAAATTCTCCAGCGACCTATGCTGGTAAACCAGGACTTCCAGAGCCAAGTGCTCAGGGCTGTGTGTTCAAGCAGTGCTTGGCTTGCACCCAGGAGCCCAGGGAAGCCAAGGCAGAGCCATGGAGCAGGCGCCTCTCTCCACCCTGGTGGCAGGTTTGCTGGGCAGCATCTCCCTCTGGAGGCTCTCCCCAGATCCTGCGTCCCATCACCAGCCCCAGCTGGGCAGGAGAGTCCACCCCAAACCACCATCTGAAGGTGAGGCTTGGGTGAACCTGACTTCTCTTAGAGCACTTTAACTTTTTAGGTGGATGTCTAGCTCAAAAGAGTATCTTCAGACTAAAAGAGCATTCTGTAAAATTAGTATTTTAAGAATTGTTTTTCTATCTGTTACTGAGTCTGTGAACCTTTCAAGATGGTAAAATGCTACTTTTTTCTCCAGTCCTGATCACTAGACACACACTTTTCCTAAAACTATGGGGAGGCTAATGGAGTCAAATGAAATTAGAAATTAAAAGTTGAGGATACTAAGAACAGAATCTAATCAAATACAAACATGACAGTTGTCATCACTGTCACAGTATTTACAGCAATTTTTCTGTTAAATTATCCATGTGTTTTCACCAGCACAGAGGTTAGTCATTCAAGTAATTTTAATTATACTTTTATATCACTGTTCCATTTTTATTTTTGGGGGGGTTTCTTGATTTTACTGGATCTTTGATGGGATCTGTACAGACTGAGGTTTCTCATACTGTTCTGAAGCTACATTTGGATTATCACAACCTTCAAAAGCTTGAAGACGATCCTAAGAAAATTGAAAAGATGGAACCAGAGTTTTCACAGAGATCCAATGACTCCAGTAAACTTCCACAGAGCCCCAGGATCTCCCTCGTCATAGGGACAGCAATATGCTCCCTGATTTTTTTTTTTTTTTATGGAAACCATAGAGCACTCACGTGCATTCAGCATGATAAAGACTGAAAGTGAAAAATATATATCCTGCTTCCTAAAATGTCAAGTAAAATGTCAAGTAGCACTGTAATAAAAAAGGAAAACCTAACATAAAATAGGAGTACTCTGATTAACATGTTGCTTTCTAATGAATGTCACATATTCAGCAAAACCACTGGGCTTCAGAAATAATGAAATAGTGACTGGATGAAAAAAAATCACAGCAGTTCACCAGTAACTCCCAGAAAAGCTTCTTTATGAAGTGAATCTTTCTTTGGATACTTCTGTAATTGGACACATCTTAGGATCAAATTCTCCCATCAAAGGGTAGATATTACAACCTCACTAGAGGCAATGGATCTTTATGGATCTAAGAAGAAAAGTTGGCATTCACTAATGTTCCTCTAAGGAGAAGGAAGAGTAAAAAAAAAAAAAATTAATTAAGAGAATGACAGATTTTTCTAGAGATGGTGATCCAAGGTAATTAAATTAGATGATGGAGACCTCTCTTGCTGCCATTCAAAATACAAGATCGAAAGAAAAGTGGCCATCCTAAAAATAATTATTTATGAATCCCACAAAATAGATCCAGTGGAATAGACTCCTGAACATTATAGGAAATGAAACTGAACTAAATCCTGCACAGCAAAAGTTGTCTTGCAAATGGGGAAAGTGAAATTTGCAAAACATATCCTTGATTTTTTAATCAATTATTATTACCACCCTGTAACCCAAGGGAGGTCTACTATCAGGGAAACACAAGATCAAGGATGCTTCTTGCCAAAGGAATTTGTTGTCAAAGCAGACCACTCATGAGATGTGAAATAAACTATGCCTTGCAATTTTTTTCATCTATCTCACTGCAAATGTTCCTGTCCAACTCCTAACACCTGCCACCTTTAACACAGACCTCCAGTAAGCTGTCTGTCAATGTTAGTACAAGTGTTTAATGTACCAAAATCAGTCTTCTCTTTTTCAACAGTGCTTTGAGAGATACAATGTAGAATGTTTTATTACCCTCTAGACATTTTACAATGTCTAGTAGTTTTATTTTTTTCGCCCCAGAAAGATGTCGCATAATCTGATATGATTTTATCTTTGTAAATTCATGTGTGCTGCTCCTCATTCACTCATACTTCAGCTATTCAAAGACATCCTTTTCTACCATTTGCATCAGTAATTAACCATAGCTAAACAGGCAACTTACTGAATGGCAACAATGGGATTCCTTGCTTCAATATTTTAAAGAATTTCATCCTTTCTCCACTACACATTTATTATCCATTTACGTATGTATTGTCTCTTTAGCTAGCTACATGGGTGTTTTTCTTCAGCTGTTTCTCAACTGGTTACAAATTTCCAAAATTCCTTATAGAGGATCAAACCATTATTCTGACCTAAAGATCATGTGCAGGTCTTGTTTACATAATTTTTTTATAATTGATAGAATTTGTACATAGATCTGCTGGTACAAGATTATCCCACTTCTTTTTTACAGACTCTGTAAACATCCTATTTGAATTCTCAATAATTTGGTGTTTATTGCTATCCTTTCACTGTCCAATATATTGGAATGCCTAAAAAATCCTGACATTTTTTGGCATCAGCTTCTGTTGAAGTTCAACAGGACATAACACCTACTGTCCCTTGCATCTTTTCACAGCTGCACCCACAAAATATTTTTCGTTTATAATATAAAAGTAATCACTTGGCAGAATAACAGCAACCCAGAGGGCCAAGTATATAACAGCTTAATAGATCAGAGCTACAGGTTCATAAAGAACAGAACTGCAGTATTATCTATATCTAAAATGACACAAATTCTCAAATTATAAAACCACAAAATTTGAACAGTTTAGTATTTTCCCGATACTAGCCATAATTAAATAATATTTTACAGCTATTGCTATACAGTTCTAGAACTAAAAAAAAAAATTATCAAGTACAGGATGTTGCTGGATAAAAAAGGGTCATCAAATATGAAATACCCACGATGGAGAGCTTCAGTTGCCAGTACACAAGCTGCCCAAATGTCATGAGACAGGGTTTACAGATGCAGTTTCTGGACTCCACCAATGATTGCTTCATACAGCTGAAAATCCTACAAAACATGGGAGAAATCACTTTTGTGGATTCAAACCTAACCAACACTGTGGAGTAAGCTTGAAGGTATATAGAAGCTGAAGCACTTAAAGTTACAGTTTCTGGAAAGTTCTGTAGCTTCCAAAAGACATCCATATTTTTCTGGCAGCTGTGTGTGACCAGTATCACTAGTAAATGACAGCTGGAGCACATCAGGAAAGCTTCTAGACTGCATTCTGTGCTACTCAACGAGAAGGCCCCTCACATGCCCTGGGAGATTTATGTATGATGTGATCCAAGGTCTGCAAAATGGCAACAACCAGCAGTCTCATTTTAAATACATGCTCTTGATCCAAATCAAAACACTAATGTAGTTGCTTTCCATTAATCTCATGGATTGGTAGTTAAGTCCTATTACAGGTTTGCAGTGCTTGTTGCTGCGTCATGGTGCTTGTTCTTGACACATTTTATCTTCAGTAAATAAAATAAAACTAAGACTTAGAAAAAATATTGCTTGACAGTGGGCCAGATGGGTACCCTGAAAGTACAATTTAGCTTTCTGGGCTTTTGTCTTGAAAGAAGGTTTTTTCCTAAAATAAACAAAGCAGGAACCTTTGCAACTGAACTCAAGCATTTCACAGACCTTGAGAAAGACTGTCAGTAGGGAATTGTCACCTGTAGATAAACAGAGATGGGGAAGGCAAGAGAAAGGAAGCCAAACCCAGCCAAGCCAAGAAAATGGAAGGCAAAGCAAGGCAAAGCCAGGGAAAGCATATCATAGCTTGTTGTGAATTCTGTCATGTTTGTTATCTCAACACGTTTGGTATCACAAAGCTGCCAAGTGCAAGATAACTTTCACAGATCTGTCAGGCAGCCGTGTTACAAACCCTGCCTGCTCATGTCCAGTGCTAAGGACTCAGCTGGGCTGCAGCCACAGCTCCTTCTTCAGTCTCCTCAGAGACTGCTGGGGAAGGTAGGTATGTTGATAAAGCCACATAACCTCAAAATTCACTGGGGGCAAACGTAGACCTGGATCAAGGAGAGAAAGAGGCTCGGTAGTATCCATTTCCTTATGTCCTAGCACTTCTGCATGCTCTTAAGGTGCACTCTGAATCTCTCTAGATTTGCTGCCTCCTTGAAACAGATTTCTCTGGGCATTGCTCTTTTGCCTCCCCAATAGTCTTCTCCATTTCTTCCATGCAACTCCTCTGCTCCCAGACTTTAATACAGCAGCTACTGTATCACTTTTTCATTGGTGGAAATATCAATTGAAAATATATGAGTTGTTATTTTCAACGGCAAAATAATGAGTTGTCATAGATAAGCACAGAAATAAAAGTTTAAAATCCTCAAAATATTTATTACCTCTTCACATAAAAAACAAACCTTGGTTAGATCCTATAAACCTAGATTTTGCAGCTGAGCGTTTAATAATTTCCAAAAAACTGGTGTAAGAGAATACATGAAACATACAAACATAAAGATTTTCTATGTCATATGCTTCTGTATGTTTCAACTTATATTTTTGTATAGATAATGAATGCATGAGAGGCTCATTTCCCCACAAAATACAAAAATTAAAGTGCGTGCTGTAAAAATGCAGACAGACAAGTTTGGCTAGGAGATAACTCTAGTTTAGGATGGATTAATTTGTTCATTATTATTCTTTACAAATTTTGCAGGAAGCCTGACAGATAAAAACTGGTCCAAGATCTGTATTTTCACTGTCAGTTATGCTTGTGCAAAAGCAAAAAAAAGAATATATATCTTGGCAAGACAGGAAGGCACCAACATAAGCTTAAGGCTATTCCATTTCTACACAGATTTCAGTGAGAAAATGGTAGGAAAACCAAAATAATTTTCAAGCTGCTAGAGGGTACTGTCAACTGTGAAAAATAGAAGGACAACTATAAACATAATTATTCAAGTGCACCCTCTTAACTAACAGAAAGATTTTAAGGGCTAGCAGAGAATTTTTTAAATATGCTAAGCAAGACAAATAGATAGTAAACAATTATGGTGGTTTCCTCCTTTGCAAAATACTTTACAAAAGAGATATTAAGCAGATTAATTTGGTTCCCAGCAGAATGCATGTGGAGGGTAAGATCTGATGCAGTTTTTAACTTAATTTCTTCAGCATCCCTGTTAGATGTTTTGCACAGCAGTACCTTCTGAACGAATTTGCTTGGGATCAAATTCTAAGTATCAATTAAGACTTCACTGGAAAATCTACAGGACTGAAGAATGAATATTTGGTCCTTAGGCATGTAAATGAAGTGGTCATATTCTAAGTGTTTTTCCTTTTGTGAGAAGAAAGAGAAGATTCCCAAAGGGTCACTTGTGTGCTGTCACTGGTCTGTGGGCCCCTTCAAAAGGTGCATGCCCTGGAAGAAAAAGGCACCCATTGCTGTGGTGGCACCTGCTACTGTAGCTGCTGCTCTTCCAGGTACACGGCAAAAGAGGGCAGTGGAGCACTGTACATTTCAACAGATTAAATTAATGATCCCTGCAGATCTTTCCTCCACATTTCTTTGCTGCAAAAATTATTACAATACCTAAAAAGGCAATCATGTTGTATTAATAACATCCAGACAGTTTAAATAGAACATCTCTTTTGCTTTCACTGAAAGTGGCTTTTTTGTCCTAGTGAGCCTTGTAATCGATTGATTGAAATTTCATTACTTCCAAATCTCCAGTCACAGGAGGTATTGCATTTTCACCCACTAACAGGATTCTTCATGTTGCTTTCTTTTGCATTACCTCCTTCACATGCTCTCCAGGGAAGTGTGCATTCCTGCCTGTAACACAACACTCCAAGTTTAAAAAAGCCAACAGTAATTTAAGTGTCATCACATGGAATGGGGTTTGTTTTCATTTCTGTCACTAACAATTAACCCTGCTGGTTTTAGCCAATGTACCATGGCCAGTCATTGCTTCTGTTGTGTTCTTTCTTAATTTATTGGGCAGTTCTACCTTCTGGATCCTTCCTAAGTGATTCTAGACTTTATCTGTATCCCACTCGTTTCAAAATATGTTAGTTCATGCAGCTTTAAACATTCACAAAGATATCTTGTTTATAGTTTTACACTGTACTATAATCAAATCTGAAGTTCGGGTTCACTCTGGTTTTTGAATTGGAGTTTAGGATGATGCTTCCTTTTGCTGAAAGCAGCAGTTCCCACTTCAGTGTAAGTTGACATATATAATATGTTGTTAAAAATAATTACATATTATTTAAGAGGAATGGTCACAGTAAAGAACTCTGCCCTCTTTACCAAACAACCCTCTTTCATCTTGTCAAGACCAGCCTTTAATCTTTCTTTAAAATGACAAAGGTTTACAGTGTCAATATACTCCTCAGGATGGCAGTGCTCTAACCAGATTTATCGGCAAATCTCTTACTTTACCATTTGTAAGCCAAACTCTGGTACTCAAATGTCATTCATTTCAAAATCTCATGTTTTATTTAATGACTATAGCATGTCAGCACTGTCTCCAATGTTCCTTTGATGCAAAAAGACAAGGGGATGTGACAAGATGTGCCACATCCAACCTGAAGTTTGAATTATTTATAAATGTTTGGAAAATTACATAAAATGATAGTGTACGATATGCAATCCATTACCACTACATTCTCAGATCAAAACACAGTAATCACCAACATCATTATCTTATTTCAGAGCAGTTTCAAGGGCAGCTCACTGGACTGGGATTACAGAGAGTCAGTTTATAAACTTTGTTCTTCTGTGGTTTAAGTAGCAAATTCAAGGAAGTGCCCCCAGCCTCCTCAGCCTCAGTTTCCTCTCCTTTAAAGCAGGAGAACTAGCACCCATCTTTTCTGTGAAGTGTTTGAACATCATGGTGTACATAGTTTTTGTATTTACAGTATAGATGCTGGATATTATTTCTGTTATTACAATTTTTGTTCTATTTTTACAGGGATGTTATATTATTCCTACTGCTACAGTTTTCTGCCTCCAGGGTGCTGGGTCTTGAGCAAACACAAATGCAGGCTGGTCAAAGTCGACTGCTGTTTACATTTGAAAAATATTTTAGAAGTGTAAGACCATCCTTTCCACACCAGTGCACTTAAACGTACAGAAAAATCAATACATTTCTCTACGATTGACTAGGCTTTTTTCAGTTGGTCTTGCACAGTTAAAAAGGCATAAACTACCCTCAAATATAAACAGAAAACCTTGCAATAGTGCTAACTGTGCAAAAGTGCAATTTCTTTTTGTGAGATGTTTGCAGAAATACTTTCATGCTTTGGTTAACACCCTGAGACAGAAAACCTTTCTTAATGGAACAAATATTGTTTAGTCTTTACTTTTATTTATTCATTTTGCCCTTAACTAAGAAAAAAAAGCAATATTGTATTTCAGAGATGTACCTAACAAGCAATCTAAAACTAACTCTTCCTTTCTCCTCTCCTTAATTATTCCTGATTTCCTGATATAGGTTTCTATACACATGTGCCTGTAGATTGCTTTTTAATATAAAACGATACATTAAGATTTTATCATTTGCTTTTTTCATCAAATTATAAAATTTATAAAAAGATAGATAGATAGATAGATAGATAGATAGATAGATAGATAGATAGATAGACAGATAGATATGCATTCAAAAAACTAAGAGCTGGGTAAGACCAAGTCAGGTGAAAATCAAGTGACTTTCCAAATTTCAGTGTTGGTTATAACATTACAGAATTTCTACCATGCTTCACCACCAAAATAAGGACATTCTACATATCAAAGCTGAGGATTCTCTTGAAAGAAAGATTCCTTTACCCAAGGTGCTGAGTAGAAAAGGAGATCAGCATGGGTGGCCCATCATCTTGACCAGAGATAAAGTCCCTTCAGAAAGTTAATTCTGAAGTGTCTTTGATTTGCAAAGGAGTTCATTTCCATTCTCACTCCTGTTGGCATAAGTGTAATGAAAAGCCATAGAAACTTCACACTGTCAGGAGTTCCAGGAGCTGCTTTTGCAAACCAAGTGGTTTCACCCTTCACTTCT